GGCCTCACAGGGCCAAGATCAAGGTGGCAGCTCTATTACATCCTGGAGGCTCCACAGCAGAACCTGTTCCTTTCTCTAGCTTTTAGAAGCGACCTTCATCCTTTGGCTTATGGACCTTCCCCATCTTCACAGCCAGCGATGGCTGGTTGAGTCCTTCCTCCGTACTCTAATCTCTCTCTGACTCTTTTTTGCCTCCTGCTTCACTTTAAGGGCCCTTGTGATGACACTGGACCAACCCAGAAAACCCAGGATAATCCCCCGCCTGCCCCCCACACTGAAAAAGTCTTAATTTAATCACCTCTGCAAAGTTCCTTTTGCCATGTAAGGGACAGAGTCACTGTTTCTGAAGATTAGGAGGTAGACGTCTTTGGGGGATCACTGTTTGCCGACCACACTCACAGTTACAGATGGGGACACTGTGCCTGGATCAGTCTCCAAGGCCATGTGGACTTGGAGGTGGCAAAGCTGGACTGGGAGCCGATCTGTCAGTCGGAGGAGGAGGTGGCCCCCAGGCACATATCCCCCTACCTGGTTCGTTCACACAGGCCTGGATCCCCAGATTTGCTAAGGGGTTTGGAGGAGAGAAGTGAAGTGGCTGCCCCAGACATCTTGATTTCTCTCCCAGTCACTGTTTTTGGTAGAAAGTAGCCAGTTGGACAGAGGTCCTTGATAAGCCTCGTAAATGGTTTTATCTTGTTGTTTCTAGCAATCCTCTTTTAGGCTGGTTTGTAACAAGCGTCTCACATGTGCAGTGCCATCCTGGCCAGAAGGCTCACTGTTACCTGGGACATGGGTTCAAAGGTCAGAACTGTGTGAATGAGTTGCCTGGGGTCAAGGCTGGGGAGACCTATCAGCCAGAAGATAAAGTGGGAAATGTCCCATCCTTGTTTCTATTTTTGGAGAAATGTGATCCTTTTGCAGAGAGAGATACTGAGAGGGTAATGTGTGTATGTGTGCATGCGTGCGCACGCATGCTCCTGTGTGTGTGTATGTGTGTGCACACGCGCATGCTTACCACCCCAGAACCTAGAGAGGTACTAACTACCTCATGAACTAACTACATCCTGAAGCCACTAAAACATCTTCTCCTGACCTCCAGACTGACTGCTACCAAGGCCAACAGCCTCTATTAATCTTTATTGCCTTAGTAGCAACATTATGGCTACTATTCACTGAGGGTGTACGACGTGCTGGAGTCTCAGAAAAAGTCATGGAGCAGAAGATGGGAGTTAAAGAGCGTAAGCTCTGGAGCCAGGCTGCCTGGGTTCAAATCCTAGCTCCACTTAAACTCTCTGAGCCTCAGTTTCCTTCTCTGTAAAACATGGCTGATCCAAGACTTCATTAAATCCAAGATGCCATCAGTCACAACATGGACCATGTATTCATGAACTATAAAGAATACAGTGAGAGCAAAACTGTTACCTGTTCGTGAATAAGACGCATTCTGATCTTAGAGATGTTAAGTTTCAAGGAAATCCACATCTTAGGATCCATGAAAAACAGAAAGAACACCCACCGTGTGGGTCTATTGTGCTTAGACTGGCACCTGGCACATAGAAAGGGCTCATGCACGTTAGCTGGTGTTGTTACTATTACCCCCATTTTACAGATGAGGAAACTGAGATCAAAGTCACTTCCCAAGGTCACCCAGCAAGTAGTAAATGGTAGAGTCAGATTTGGATTCCCTTGCCTGCATGTCTCTTAAATGGTCCCAAAATCATATCCACACCACGGAGGAGATGAGAGAAAGATCAGGAAAAGGCTGATACCATCTCTGTATGTCTGTGAGCAGGTCTTCCACCCCTCTGGGTCTCCATATCCTCATCTGTGGGAATGGGCCAGTGGTGTCGACCCTGCAGCGTTGCTGGGAGGATTTGTGAAAGTGAATAGGTCCCACGCACATGCTCAGTAAACCTTCATCCTTTATTCCCTTCCCTTCCCACCTCCTACCCTGCAAGCAGCTTTTTGGGCACTGCCTTTAGCCACAGAAACCCCAAGCTCAGAGCAGTTGCCAAAGATACTTGGACTGACTTGCCTGGAGTATCCGAGCCTCAACCGCCCTGGACACCTGCCTGATGTCTGCTCCGGCTTAGAGCTCAGCCTTCTCTCTGCACCTGCTCTCCAGCTCAGCCCCGATGCACACCTGGCAGGCACAGCCAGGCCCGGAGCCCCTAACTCCTCTGCAGACACTGCCTCTCGGGACTATACTGCTTGGAAGCAGATTCCTGGGGTATCCGTGTTGCTTTAGATCCTCTTGTAAATTTTTACACGGTGAATTGTTCATCCTTGCCTGTTTGTTGAAAGCAAGACTATCTGGCAAAGTGTCCAGATCCTAAGAGCACAACCTGCTGAATTTCCACTAAATTCACACTCCTGTACCGGTACCCAAATCAAAACAGAACATTGCCTGCGCCATCCCCCCCCCACCCCCACCCCCTCATTCTCTCTCAAGCCTCCCAGTCCCCAACTGTCAGCACTGCACAGACTTCTAGCACTTGGATCAGTTTTGTCTGCTTTTGCACTTTATACATGAAATCATTCAGTGTGAGTATGGTGTGCCTGGCTTCTCTGGTTCAATGTTGCGTTTATGATTTTTGCCGTTAGCAATAGTTTATGGTTATACAGTACAAATATATACATATTGTTATATGGCTACATCACAATCTATCCATCTTTGTTGATGAATACTTGGATTGGCTCCGGTGTGGGGCTGTAATGAATGGGCTGTTCCTAATGTGGTAGTACATTCTGGTGTATCTGTGGGTGAATGTGAGTATGCATGCCTGTTGCCTATATACTTCGGGGAGGAATTGCTGATCGTGGGTTATTTGTATCTTTCACGTTGGTAGCCGTGCCAAGCTGTGATTGTGCAAATTTACATACCACCAGTCTGTGTTGGTTTCTCCAGCAGCCCCAGAAACCACAGGGTAGTGAGAGAAGCAAAGGTTTTAGCAGCTGCTCCTAGAGAGAAAGATGTGAGCAGGGAAAGATGGGATGGATATTTGAAGCCTGTGACTTGTATGCAGTTATTCTGGGAAGGAGAGTCTGGGAATCCGGGAGCCTATTGCAATGATTTGCTCTGCGGGGACAGTATTTTCTGGGCTCTGGCCTGTAATGAGTGTAGGTGGCTGTTCAAGAACTGAGTATCCAGGGGAGAGAATCCACCCACGGTCCTCACCATCCCCAATATTTAAATGTCAATATGGTTTAATTGGCTGCACAGCCCACTGTCTCCCCATCTCCTGCAGCAGCCACAGCAAATATACCCTAGGACAGCAACAACAGGGGACAGCCTTGAGTCACTGTTGCTGCCACCTGCCAGCTTACTGGGTGACCTTGGACAGGTTAATCAGACTCCCTGGGAGTCAGCTTCCCTAAGAATCTCACCTTAAGGAAGTAAAGAAACACATCTTAGTCAAAGATCATTGGTAGCGTGTGGGATGGGTGGATGGGTGAATAGGTAGCTGGGTAGATAGGTAGAAATATAATAGATGGACAAACAGATGTGATGCGTGTATAAATATACTATACATATTTGCACAAGGATGTGCGTGCATTTGCCATTGTATTGATCATTTGCCACCTCTCCTAACAACCCGCATTTTGTGAGCACTTAATATGCGTCAAGCACGGAGAGATGCCTGTACTTTTACACACCTGATTTCATGTGATTCTCTTTAACAATCTCATAAGGCAGGAACTATTTACCCCCTTTTACAGATAATAAAAATGAAGCTCAAAGAGGTTAACTCATCTGCCTGGGGTCACACAGCCACTAATGACAAACCAGGATTCTAAACCACAGAGTTTGACTAGACCTCGGTTCTAACTGCTTTGCTACACTTTCCACCACATGCCTTCTCTCATTCAGTTCTCACAGTGACTCTACAAGGGTAGGTATTCTCTTTGATAGCTAAGGAAACCGAGGTCCAGAGGGGTTAAGTAACCCATCCAAAGACACACAGTAAGAAGCCGAGCTGGGATCCAAACTGAGGTCCCTCTGCCACAGTTCTAGCTCCAACCACATTTTCTCAGCTAAGTCTTGCAGGTGACAAAGGCTCAAACAATACTAAAGGAGGGACTGAGAGTCTTTTAGCAATTAACTCCTAGATTAAAAGAAAAATTCAAGCCATTATTTTGACACAAGATGGAACGTGAACTTGCCTAATACCATCCCTCCCTCTTTCAGCCAACACTGGATACTATGAGCCAGACATGGTGCTGAGGGCTGGGGATGAGGTGGGGAATCTAGAATTCATTCACTAACTCATTCGGTGACCACTTACTGAGTGTCTGTTGTTGCGTGCCAGGAACTGAGCCTGCTGCAGAAGGGACAGACGGATGGGCATGCAGGCAACTAAATGAGGAGGTGTTACTGTCACTGCATTAATGTCCTTTGTCATCTTTTCATTTATCTTAAACATTGGTCCTCAAAATGAATTCAATGAGGCTGAAAAAGTTTGAAAATCCCTCTATGTAGAATGTAGACAGGCATCTGGTTTGGGGGGAAGAGCATTGATGTTGACAGGCCACCGTCTGAAGGCTTGAATGCATCATTGGTCAATGGTACTTGGTGGATGTGAGCCACCATTCTGCTGGTGTTTTATCACTGTCCCCCCACCTCAGCAGCTTCTGTAGAGTGGGAGCAGCTGGGACAAGTGGCTGGCAGAGTGATAAGTGGTGTCTGAGGACCCCAGAAGTTTCTGGTTTATGTGCAACTTTCCTTCTGTGCAACCCTAGGACAGATGGAACTGGGCCCGGGTTAGATTCTGTAGGTATCCTATGATGCCGGGGTGGGGTGGGGGGCAGTGTTGGTGATGAACCCAAAGAACGTGCCCCTGATCTGCATCCCAAAACCAGGTCTGAGGTCCAGTTACAGGCTCATTATCCAATAGGCAAACTAGGGGCACATCCAGTCTATTTGTCACATCTAACAACTACCGTGGGTCACTCTCATCGGAACAACTGCCAATCATTTATTTTGTCCTTTTGCTTTCCAGCCTCTGTAAGGGACGGACGCTCTATTCTGTGGTGAGGGATGCCAAAATCGTCTTGGATGTCAACAAAACGAGGCAGATTGCCCAAGAAATTGTGAAGGTACCACAGGGTCTGGGGCTCCCTCCTGAGATGCATGGTTTATCTTCAGATCAACAGTCTGGATTAAAAAAAAAAAAATTAATTTGACCTAAAAAATACCACACTGCAAGTGAAGAAGAGTTTTGCCCAGATGTCACCATTAGGGTTGGTCTCCTGATGTTTGACTTCCATCTGGTGCCTCATTGTCATGATAATTGGGCATGTACAGGGACCAGGAGAAGTTTGTGTTGCTAGATTCCCTTACCCCTCAGATGCTTGAATTCCTGTGAGTGCAAACCATCTCTCTCTCTCTCTGCAGCTGCTGGGGAAACATCCAATTGTTGCAAGTTTTTTGGGATTAAAACAAACTGGAACATCCTGTGTTTTCTGGCAGGTGCCTCATTAGTCAGTTGACTGGGGCTTTTAGTTCCCATTTGGAAGTGTTAGGACTGAGCCGTTAGAAGAGATAAAATGTGACTGCTCATAAAGGCAAAACCCCAAAAATCTAGAGACTCACCCTTGAGTGAGACCTCCACTAGACTGTGATCTTGATCATTGGCTCATGATCCATTCAGCACTGATATGAGTTAAGTAGATATAAAACAAATCTCCTGCAGAGGAGTTATTTTTTTAAAAAAGGAAGTGTGGGGAGGTGGTTGATGGGATTCCTTTCTCCGGGAACCTCTTCTTCGTTTTTGTCTTCATTTTTTTTTTCCCCACAAGGGACATCTTCCCTTGTTTGTTCTTCAGGAAGCAGACAAGCTAGGTAAGAATAGTGGTGGTCATCCGGGGGTGGTGGCAGACATGTGTCCTGGGGACCCTGCCTGTTCCCACTTGCCATGACTTCTCTCACCCTACCTCCAAGCCTCTGTGTTTGGGCTCCCAGTGCTGCAGCTGTCCAGGACACTCTTGTTGGAAGGGCAAGGAGGGTGAACCCAAGCCAGAGTAGCAGCAAGCACTCAGGTGTTCCCTGGAAATTCCTATTTCCTTGCTTCTTGCAGGGCATGGGCTACCTCCACGCAAAGGGGATCCTTCACAAGGACCTCAAGTCAAAGAATGTCTTCTATGACAATGGCAAAGTGGTGATCACAGACTTCGGGCTCTTCAGCATTTCTGGGGTGCTGCAGGCTGGCAGGTGAGTGGCAGTAGAAGGGCATAGTGGAGTTCTTGACAGATGACACTCAGGGGTGAGAAGTCACCCAAATGACCAGTGACCTAGACTGGGTCTTGGGCCGGAGGTCATTTAGCTGAGCAGCTAAGTAGGCTATTGCTGATGCTACAGTGCTGATGCCAGGTCAAGCCATGATTCCCTGGGAGCCTGTCTTGCAAGCAGTACTTTTGAGCCCACATGCGTGTTGTTGTTTTTTTTTCAAAGATTTTATTTATTCATGAGAGACAAAGAGAGGCAGAGACACAGGCAGAGGGAGAAGCAGACTTCCTGTGGGGAGCCTGATGCAGTGCTCGATCCCGGGACCCCAGGATCACCCTGAGCCACCCAGGCACCCCTGAGCCCACATGCATTATTGAACACTGAGCATTCCTGAATCCTGAAAGACCTTTCCCTTGAATTTAGCTGGAAGACCCTTTGCCCTGAGTACCCACCTGGAAGTTGGAATCACCCAAGAGTCCTTGCTCAGAGTTTTCTTATGAACCAATCCATTTTAGTGCAGCAAGAGTACAGTTAAGGGATTTAAAATCTGACCCACCTGTGCCCCACCCCCACCACTTGGCTCTGCCACTTAATAAGTGTGACTTTAGTTACACAAATGGAACTTCCCTGACCTTCAGTTTCTGTGTCTGCCAGAAAAATGACAGTGTGATCATGCCTACCTCGTAGGATCATTGTGTGGATGAAATGACACAATCAGGCGTCCAGCACAGTGCCCAGAGCATAGGAAGCACACCACACAGAGTAGCTGCTGCCAAGTTGTTGAAATTACTATTAATTTGCATATACCTCCCCCAGTGTCACCCAGGAGAATCATTAACCATCCTTAAGTAATTAATTCTCAGGAGCCACTCACCCGGGGCAAGCTGCCTTGAGTTGACCAGGAGAAACAGCTTGATTCCAAATAAACAACCCATGATTCAGAAAGTCTGCCCTGGGTGACTTTTAATTTGGAGCTGCACGCATGCGTGCGCACACTCACACAAACTTAAAAACCCTGTGGTTTTCTCTAATCGTGCCTTTTATAAGAGGTGCCTGTCTCCTCTGGATGGCAGCCCCACACTCTTCTTTTACTTCAGTTTCAGCTGCTTTGAGGTACTGATCTCTTTGAGGTCCACCCCAGGGTCCTCCCCTACCCAAAGTGAATTTCATTCAAGCTGTATAATATCTTAAATCTAAGAGCCTCCAAAAATCAGCAACACTTGATCTAGCTGCTTTGTGTGATCTAGATACAGGAAGCATAACAAAAGCATAAGTTTGTCTTCAGCTTTTACTCCACCCAAAAAAAGAGTCAGTGCGGTCTCCCAAACTATCTATGGCACCTCAGATGAAAAAAGAAGTAGGTAAATGAACAAAGATACGGTGGATAGGTTGGTGGAGAGAGTCCATCGAGTCAGAACCCAACAGGCCAGGAAGGCTGAACCACATTCCTTCTTCCCCTGGTCTTCCCAGCAGCACTCACAAGTGGGTTTGCTGGCAGAGAATTTGCACGTGTACACGTATGTGCGCACACACATAATTTGCAAGCATGCATACACGCGCATGCATGCTCACATACACTCCATCCATCCATCTATCCATCCATCCGTCCATCTATCCATCCAACCCCCCGGGGTTAAGAGGAGGAGAAAGCAGTTGGTAACGTTACTATGCACTCAAGTATTTGTGTCCAGACATTTGTCTGCTGGAGGTCCAGCAGATGCTTTTGGGAACCTACTTCAAGGCTCTTTAAAAAAAATCATCCAATTGCTCCCTCCTGGAGGTGTGTCCACATACCTTCCCTTTCTCCTGGCTAGTGGATTCTCCTGAAGGTGGAGGATAAGGAGGCAGGACCTCTGATTTTCTCCCTTTTGGTTCTTGGTTTTCTAAAGCCTCAGGGTAAAGAGGAAGAAAGGAAATGGAATGACGTGAGCATCCTTTCCTTTACCTCACTCACAGGGGCCCAGTGTCAACCGGGAAGCAAGTTCAAGTCAAGGGCAAAGTGGCTGCTGGCCTTGTCCAGCCGCCACTCCCCCCACCCCCACCCCTGCCCAGCCTGGTCATCAAAACAAACCTGGGCAGTGTCAAGAGAGGCCAAGGAGTCCTCAGCAACCTCTCCCACAAAAATCCACATTTCTTGGCTGCCTACCCCCCCATCGGGGATCTCCTGTGCTTGTTGTATGTTCCCTGCTACAGTTGTATATAGGGCTTCAGTTTGCTCCCTAAGGGGGGCGTTTCTCTAGGAATTGCTGTAAAATTATGGTTGGGAGTCTCTGGAGTCACTTAGTACATCTACAGCTTCAGGCAGGTCACTTAAGTGTTTTGAAGCTCTGTATCCTCATCCACAATACAGGGATTTTATCCATCTGATTGTCGGATTAGTGGGACTGAGTGGAATGGATAACCTGGCACACATGAGACACTCAGCGGGGGCTGCTTGCCATCCTGCTCTGCCCTCAGTGGGGACTTAGGGCATTCACGGTGCTGGGTTCCCCGCAGGGGAAGATCTGCTGGGCCTGGACAGGGGTAGGGGGTTACCCTGTGAAGGGAGGGGAGCGTGCCCTGAACATCCAGACCGACCGCAGGGGCTTCCCTCGAGCCTGTCCCCAGCGTTGCCAATATGCAGCTGTTCTGCTATCGTCGGGAAAAGGTGTCATTTTTAATGCCAGCACCATCATGCCAGCCCCCCGCAGTCTGTTATTAATCATAATAATAACCATAATGAAGACGATTTGAGTTTGTCACTGGTGTGCCCATCGCTATGGGAACGGGACATCCCGGAGTGTCTGGGTCAGGCCTAGCATTGAGCCCCCTCCCAGGCATGTGTCCCCTCCCATCCTGGGTTGATGGATAGGAAGGGGCCAGCACCCCTCCTTCTGGCCTATCTTGCAATTCCAAACCTGCACTGAGCCAGCGAGTCCAGAATAGGCAGCAGAAGCGGTCAGAAAGAGATCAGAACTGGGGTACTCTCCCTTTGGGCAGCAGCACCGCATCTCATCATACCCCCAATGGCCTGGCCATGCCTGGAGAGTGTTAGCTGGCTCAGGCCATGGCCCACCCTTCTTGAAGGATACTCTTACTTTGGGCTCTAGGCTCAACTTCATCTCTGTGTCCTTGGGATGAAAATACATTTGTAGGGCACAATTCTGTCTAATAATCATGTGGCCCCCACCAGAAAGGATTATCCAGCCCCAAAACTCCTAGAGGCTCTCTTATCAGGGTTCTATCCTTCCCCTACACATGGTCCACAAGATAACTTTAGGGATGGCATGAATAAGCATTTTTCATCTTAATTTTAATTAAGATGAAAATTTTAATTAAGATTAATTTAGTACTAAAAAAGTGCTAGTTCCCATGTATGGTCATGTAAAGAAGTAAATGAAAAAACCCATTTGCAGTAAATAATGGTCAAGAGCAGCACTGTCCAATAGCTCTCAGCCATATAAGGCTATGTAGTTTTAACTTTAATTAAAATTACATAAAATTAAAAGTTTAATTCTTTAGCTGCACTAGCTGGGTTTCAAGTGCTCAGGGGTCATGTTGGCTAGTGGCCGCCATAATAGTCAAGAGCAGCACTGTCCAATAGCTCTCAGCCATATAAGGCTATGCAGTTTCAACTTTAATTAAAATTAAATAAAATTAAAAGTTTAATTCTTTAGCTGCACTAGCTGGGTTTCAAGTGCTCAGGGGTCGTGTTGGCTAGTGGCCGCCATATTGGATGGCACAGACAGAGAACATTTCCATCATCATGGAAAGTTCTATTGGATAGTGCTGCTCTAGAAGGTTTTCAGATAATCATCAGGGGAGCAGGGCATCACACCTGACATAGCTCAGAAGCCATCCTAGGAGAACTGTAGAATCTAGGCAGCCCCAGGTCCCCCACATTCTGGAGGCTCTGGACCATCACAATCTCCTAATGGTTGGAAATATCTATCCCCCCTCTCCCATAACTGCCCCTTTTCCCTGAGTTAACTGGCCCTTTCCTGGGAATCTTGAATCAGTGGAAACCTTATGGGAGATCTGCTCAGATTCCAGTCCCAGATGGAGAGCTCTGTACTTACAATAGTGAAAAAGGCAGCCAGCGTCTTTCCTCTTCCAGGAATTTATCCTAAGGAATAATCATAGATGTGGGTGCAAATATATTCACAGTGGCTACCAAATGATGTTCTTCCCAGCATTGTTTATACTGATGAAAGAGGGAGGCCCATCAACTAATGATTGGTTGTATACATTTTAACAGATACATGGGATTGGCATGATATGTGCCAATGATGCTGGCTGCCTTTAGGTTTCTAGAACACCCCAAACAGGGCTTGCCTTACACCTTTATCCTAACTTCCCCTTCTGCCTAGAATAATACCCTTCTCCTTGTTCATATGGCTTGGTCCTTTATGTCCTGTCAATCTTAGCTCACATTTTATCTAAAGTGAGTTCACTCTTATCTTTAACACATTCCCCTGTTTAAATTATTTTGTATAATGCTTATCTCTCTCTATTTTTCCTATTAATTTAATTCATTTGTCATCCCCTTCCCCTCCCAAGGCACAGGCTCCAGGAGGGCAGAGACCTTGCAGTGTCCTTCACTGCTATGTTTATGGTGCTTAGGCATAGTAGATTCTCCAAAAATACAGTGAATCCTCATTGCTCTTGGATTTCATATTTGTGAATTTGCCTACTCAAATCTATTTGCACCTCCAATATCAATGCAGCACCTTCTCAGTCATTCACAGGCATGCATAGGGTGGTGAAAATTTGAATCACCTGATGTAAGTGTTCCCAGCTGAGGTCAGACAAGGGGATGCTCTGCATCTCATACAGTGATGACCAGGGGACAGGAATGGGAGGGGGCCATGCAGTACAGGGCAGGAAGTCCTGGCCTCGGGACCAGTTGGACAGAGTTTCGCAACTCTGGCAAATGGTCATGGGGCAGCCTCAGACACATTATATGACACTTTTGAGCCTTGTTTTCTCTTCTGTAAAATAATGAAAATAGAATGTACTAGGATGAGTTGTTTTTAGGATTTAAGATTATGATTTATGTGAGGTGTGTGTGTGAATACATATTTCCTCTAGGAGCAATTTTCTTTATTTGCTAATTCACTATTTGCAGAGACTTTATAAAACATAACTACCATGAATAAGAAGGCTCAGCTGTATTGGTTGAATGAATATGCAGAAGGGGGTGCCTCAGAGGCAGAGGGACCCAATGAGGGTTTGAGTGTTGAGTGTGTCTCTCCAGATCAGTCTTCTCTGCCCCTTTCCCCGGGTCTCAGCCTCAAGTACAAGGTCAGGCAGTGCCCATTGGGGGAGATGCAAGAAAGCCAGCAAAGGGGGTCCAGAGACTTGCGGTCACTGCTGGGGAATTAGTCCTCCCTGGGCTGTGAAATGGGGCTCACTCTGTGTTTTGCTTCTCTAGGAGGGAGGACAAGCTGCGCATCCAGAATGGCTGGCTGTGCCACCTGGCACCAGAGATCATCCGCCAGCTGTCTCCTGACACGGAAGAGGACAAGCTCCCCTTCTCCAAGCATTCAGATGTCTTTGCACTCGGGTAGGTGGCCCACACTGGCTGTGGAGAGCCCCAGCCCAGGTAGAGGGACATTGCCCAAGCCTTTCTTCCATACTTTTGGAAGAGATGGGGTACCCATCTGCTGGGGCCGAGGTGGTTACGTTTCTGGGTGAGGGTTGGGGGTATCCAAATGGAGTGTAATAGAAAGGGTGACCTTAGCAAGCCTTCATGCCTGGCTTCTAACTTGTTATGGACTTTGACAAGTTACTTGACCCATTCATTCATTTGGTTAAGCAATATCTATGGAATGCCTACTGTTAACAAATTATCTAAAACTTAAGGGCTTGAAGCAATATTTATTATCTCAGGTTTTCGTAATCAGGAATTTGGGGGGTGACTTAGCTGAATGGTTCTGAGCTGGTTCAGGATCACTCATGGGGTTGTCTGGGGCTGTGGTCTCGTCTGAAAGTTTGATGGGCTCCACTTCCAAGGATCCCATCCACTGGGATCCACTTCCAAGGTGGCACACTCACACGGCTGTTGCCATGAGGCCTTGGTTCCTTGCCATGAGGGCATTTTCATAGGCTGCTACAGTGACCTCATGATATGGTGCCTAGAAGCCGCATTGCCTTTATGAACTGGTCTCAGAAATTACAAATCCTCACTTCTAGCATATTCTGTGTGTTAGAAACAAGTCACTAAGTCAAGGGGAGGTTCTGAATGAAGCTGTAGATTTTGTAAGAAGGAATATCAAAGAATTGGTAGATCTATTTTTAAACCACCAAAGGCCCCTACTCTATCTTATCTAGTAGAAGACCAACAGGGAAACAGTCCATTTTAGCAGAGGATGATAAATGCTATGCTAAGGATAAACACAGGACTGTGAGAGTAGAGGAGGAACTAAATCCAGCCTGGGAGACCAGAGAGAACTTCTTGGAGAAGGTGACTCTTGAGCCTAAGTTAGAGGTTGAATATAAGTGGGCCAGATGAGGGTAGGGTGAGGTGTCTAGATAGAAGGAACATGTGAAGAGGCCTAAGGTAATGGAAAACAAATTGCCCACAATGGAGGAACATGTGGGGAGGGGGAGGAGGAAGGAGCAGAGGAAGGAGCTATGAGATGGAAAATCAGGATAAAATGAGCTTGGGGTGGTGATATAAGAGACTAGAGAGGGAATCAGGGTCAATCCTACAGGGACTAAGAGGCTGAGTTGAGTTTTCACTTCATCTTCACAGCACCTGGGGAGCCATTGATAGTTATTAAGCAGAGGAGTGATGTGATCATATTTTGAGTTTTAGAACAATCACTCTGCTTTTCAGAGAATGGAAAGGAGAAGGGCAAGATTAGAAGGCTGGGTGACCAATCCAGGGGGAGATGCTGGACATAAACATCTCCACTAAATCAGTGCCAGTGGGTTTGGAACCTGGGAATGGACATAAGCATTTAGGGGGTGGCTAGGATGGGGTCTGATGATGGGTTGAATGCAGGTGGTACCCAGATACCTACCTTAAGCAACTGAGTGGAGACTAGTGTCATTCCCAAGGTAGAGACCCTGGAGGGGATGCCTGGGCTATGCTAGGAAGGCAAGGAGAGCAGATTTGGACACAGTGAGTCTGGACTACCTTGGAGATGACCAATGGAACCAACCAGAAGGCAGCTGTATCTACACATCTAGAGTTTTGGGAAAGAGTTTAGGGCTTTTCAATAAAGAGAGAGAAACTGTACCTATAAGAGAGAATGGGATGTCTTTCCAAGTGTAGAGAACAGGATGCAGCCCCAAGTTGTGGGACAGAGCACTCTGAGAAGGTACTTATGGGAAGACTGCTGGGCTCCCATCCTTCAAATAGCCATGCTAATCCTTGCCTTACCCTGTCCACTGCGGTGGTTGCAAAGATTGGTGGCTGCAAACAGAGACGACGCTGGGGAAGCTGTTTGGGCAAGTTGCAGCCCTGCAGATGTGTGCAATTAGACTTAGCACCACAAGAGATGGTAGAGAAACTGTCTCCCATGGAAAAGTACCTCTACTGTGTCTTCTCTGTAAATCTTGGGGAGGAGGGGTGGGGGGGTACATTTGCTGGCACATCAGGATTCTCAGCATCTGTCATTTGGACCCCTTTAAGCATTGTCATTTGCCTTGATTAGTTGATGTCCAGAACTTTATCTAGTTAGATACTGTTATCTGAAATCAAACTGCAATAATTAAGTTGGTATATTTTCATATAAATTTAGCAAAAGAAAAAAGAATGTAATTAACAAATGTACCAAAGTAATTGGTTTTCCACTGGAGTTTTAATCTTTAGCAATTTATTTTTTTCTTAGTGTGAGTTTCTCTTGGAAGTTGGGTTTGAAAGGAAGTTTTAATGAGGCTTTTATTCCTGACACTGCTGAATTCCGAGGGACCTGGCACTCTTGGTTTCCTGCCAATTAGGTGCATCTTGTTGCTTGGGAACATCATGCTCAGACATGATTTAGAACAAAACTGGACTTTTAAAAGCATATTGAGCTCCGTGTTAAGGTTTTTGTGGGTGCTGTCTCCTGGAATCCTCACAGGCATCTTTTGTGGCAGGTACCGTTGCTGTTTCTCCAAATAACAGGTGAGGAAACAGGCTCAGTGACTTGCCTTATGGTATTCAGAGGTAGATCTGGGAGTCACTCTTGGGACATCCTAACTCCAGAGTTAGAGCATTTGGCATCAGACCTTCAGAGTCATTTCACCACAAAAAGCCCTATTGTCCTCAACCATAATTAAACATAATAAACCCACTCTGAGGATTAAACGCAAAAACACCTATAAAGCCCCTGCACCAAAGCTCCTGCTGGGCTCCCTTCCCCCTCCCCCATGAGCCCTTGCCTTTCTGTGCCTCTTTCCCGAGGCCCCAACCATCAGCTATAGGGTTCTCTCCCGTTCCCCTAAATCCTTCACTGCCCCAATTACAAAGGACTCTGGAATAGGATGGAGTGTGGGTTTCTTGTAGCATAATGGCCAGTGGTGCAATTCTGCAGTCAGAACAACTGGATTCAGCTTCTGGCTGCATCTCTCATTTGCTGTGTGACCCTGGGTAAGATATATAACTTTCTGGAGCCTCAGTTTCCTCTTCTGTAAAATGGGGATGATGATCGTGCCTCCTGTTTGAAAATGTAGGTCTTATTTTTATTCAGGTATGATGTTAGGCAATAGATCAGGAGGCAAGAGTCATTGGAAAGATGATTTGTTGTTTGTGGTTTCCAAAAGGAGGGGCACATCAATACCACACAGGGAAGCACCAGCGTCAAGAGGCAGAGGGAGTGGGAAGAAAATGCAGGCAAGAACCTTTAATGTAGTTTACTTGGGAGGAACTGATGAGGCAGGGTAAGCAGGCTAAGATTGGCTAGTTTGACTAATTTAGTGGGGGGAGGGGGAGGTTGTCCTGAGTGGAAGCCTGCTGGAGGTGGGGGTAGGGTTTTGGATTGCTTAGTTTGCATTATGAAGTGCAAACTCACAGGAGAGTCCTTTACTATCTCTAGGAATAGGCTGGCCCCAGAGAGAAAGGCAATCCCTCCAGGGTCAGGGAGGCCCCCACACGTCAAATCATCAAAATAAGAAGGCCTGCTTCATATACCTCCCCCATAATCATAATAAATGCAAAGGGCTTCGAGCACCTACCGCAGAGTAAAAACTCAGTAAGTGTTACTGATTATTACAATGACAACAGCCATCATCTAGCGCCTTAATGTGACAGCTTCCTGACCATCTAACTCAACACTCCAACACCTGAGCATCACCACTCCTCAGCCCAGAGGGATGAGGGTGGCAGGGGAGAGAATATGCTGAGAAGGGGGACCCTAGAAATAGCTGGTTTGACAGAGTCCTCTGATCAGTAAAGAAGATAACAGAGCACTTCATGTTCTTTAAAGCAAATTTGCATAAATTATCTTAGATTAGAGGAAAGATCATTTCCTAGGATTGTTTCAGATATTTCCTGAGTTGGGGAATTTTGTTCCCAGTGAGCTGAGACCTCGTCCCATGGTACAGCTCAGCAGTTCCCCAGCATCCTGTGAGCACCGCATGGCATCTGCCAAGGCCCTCACTGTCACCCACAGCCCCAGCACTTTTTTCCCTACTATTCTGTGGGATGGTTTATATTTAGAAAACAAAACTATAAAAAAAATCCTATGCAGTCACCCAAGTTAGCCATTGTTAATATTTTGCTGTCCCTTTATTCTCTTGCCCATGCATATATGATTTTTTAAGAGTAAGTATCACCTTATATACAGTCTTGTGTCCTGCTTTTTTCACTTAAAATTACATATTAAACATTTTTTATGTCACAAAATTTCATTGAAATGTTTCAATAATAGTATCGTATTCCATTTTGTTTTATGAATTTACCATAATATATGCAACCTATTCCTTCTGTTGAAGAATAGTGTCATTTCTCCTTGTTTTGGTGTTATATATAATGCTGTAGAGAATATTATTATAAGTGGTTTTTGTATCTCTAAGTATTTTCTTACAGTGGTTTCCTAGAATTACAAGTCTAGGGTCAGAAATCCTAGCTTCATTCTATTAAACTTTCCAGTTCTAGGTTTGACTCATTTTAATTCAGGTACCAGGGAAGGTATCCTGGAGTAACCATGACCTCTAAGACATCAAAAAAAGATTTAGGCACATCCCAGCTAGCAAAACACCAGGCCCATGAGGAAGAAACTAGAAAGTGAAGGGGTTAGCCAGGGGTCTGGCTCAGTGTGTGTGGGTGAAGGGATACAGGGTTGGAATTGACACAGCACATCAACTCCTCTTTAACAACATCTGCCAACAGCACAATTTGGTATGAACTCCATGCCAGGGAGTGGCCTTTCAAGACCCAACCAGCAGAGGCAATAATCTGGCAAATGGGCACAGGCATGAAACCCAACCTCAGCCAGATCGGCATGGGAAAAGAAATCTCGGTAAGTCCTGGGACAGTGCCAGTTCTGGGGGACAAGGAGAAAGGTAGACACAGTCTGGGCCTTCTTTCTCCTGTGTGTTAAGGCTATGAATGCTTCCCCAGAGGGTGGTACAAAAGCTTGCCCATAGCCTTGTCAGATAGTGATTTGGAGTTTAGTAGGAGGTGAAGTTTCTGAACTGTGCCTGCAATTCAGGTTTGCGCCTCAAGGGTGCAGTAGCACTCGGCCAGATTTTCCCTAGCAATGGGTTGGTGCATCAAGTAGAAACAATGAATCCCTTTTTCTGTTACTTTTAAAAGATATTCACTAAAATATTACATATACTAATGATTCTAATTTCATTTGCATCTAGATAAAAACATTTTTAAGGCATACTCCAACTCAGAACAAGATATACACAAACAGAGAAGCCTGAGAATAAATTAATAATCACCCTCTAAAACACAGCAGGAAGAGTGCTGTCTTTTGATCAGAAGACAGATAAGTCAGGGAAGGAGTTATTATCTGGTATGTTTTCAAGCATTACCTGTGTCTAGGTTTCCTTTCTCGAGTGAGGTGATCATTAAAAGTAACTTTCCACTCTTTGACTTTGAAGAGCATTTGTAATATTGAGATGTGGATAGAGACCTCAGGATTTACTTTCCTTCCTCCCTTTGAGAAAAAAAATGGCCAAAGAGCTCCTTGGGGAGCATTACTGATATCTGTGTATCCTAGACCTTCTAAAATAGGACATACCTAGTTTGCTATATGGGCTCATGAGTTGAATAAATGGAAGGATAGATGAATGGATGGAAAGAAAAAAGAACATAGAAAGACAAGGATGAATGCATGAATCGAGATGATTTGATTGATGGATGGATGGATGGATAAAAGATAGATAAGGATGAATGCATGATTGGGATGGTTGGATAGATGGATGGATGATGGAGGAATATGCAAGTGGGGCAAATGGATAGACAAATGGACAGACCCAAAGATGCACCAGAGAGTATCAAGACATCACCATTTATGTTAAATTACCACTTTTTGACTTCTTTTAGGACATTCTTCTCTTTTGCTGGGCCTTTGAACAAGAAGAAAGACCTACATTCACTAAGCTCATGGACATGCTGGAGAAACTGCCAAAGCGAAACCGCCGCCTTTCTCACCCTGGACATTTCTGGAAGTCTGCAGAGTAGGTGTTCTCCTTTAGTCTCTCTCCCTGCTGCCTTTGCTGCCTTTCTTGCTCCCCTCCCCAGCATCTCTGTCAGCCATCTCCTTTCCATCCACCCACCTCCCTCCCCCTGCCACCACCCTCCCTTACCAGGTTTCTGTCCAGGGGACTCTGCTCTGGGATTTGGGTCCTAGAGTCTACCATCTGTCCTTGGTCCCTGCTGCTACCATGGCTACCTCCTTGCCTATCCCTTCCTGATGAAGGTTAATTCCTTCATCAGGTGAGTCTAAACATCAGGTGCAAGGTGATGCCCTGAACCAAGTAGTATATGCCTTCAGGAGGCCTGGCTTGCAGGAAATCTTCCCCCTGGGCCAGCAACCTCTCCCCATCATGGCATCTCGCAGCTTCCAGAACTCTCTGTCGCATGACCAGGGAAGGGAAGGTTCTCAGCTTCTCCTTGCTGTGTCTCTCTGGCTTTCTCATTGGAGGCGCTGTGCCCCTCCCCATCCTTGTTCTTGGACAGAGATCAGTGGTTCTGCATGAGGATTACCTCATGTGGGGCATCTCTCTGGGAGCCTCCCTCCTAGGCCTAGCCTCAGTGGTTTCTCCAGAAGGTGAGAGCCAGACTAGCCCAGATGAGGCTGCTGAGAGGTCCCTGCTACCCACTGCCCTGCTGTTCCAGGCCCATGTGGTTGTGTACACTCACACAGACACAGCCAGGTGTACACACACACATACAAACACATACACACAGACACAGAAACTTAAGTTAAAAACATACCTCTATGTATGTTTTTATGTACATAGCACAAGAGCACTCAGATGTACGTATGCACCGCACAAGAACCTTATAGGAACACACACCACAGGTGCAGGTGGACTCAGATGTGCAGGTGGACTCAGATGTACATGCACACACTTTGCCTGACACATGCACGCACACACCTGCTCTTCACCACTACAAGCCTTTACACAGGCACGCAGATGTAGGTCCATGCTTGTGCAAACCCTCAGCTATGTGTGCAGGCACACCAGAGTAGTTGTCAGCATCTCACCACAGGACCCAGGAGGCCCTCAGCTGCCCCTCACCCCACCATTTGGGCTTGCTGAGCCAGGGAGGGCAGGATCTCTTCCTCAGAGCTCAGACTTCCCGGGTCAGACAGACATGGTTTGGAACCTCCGCTCCACCACTTCATAGCTGTGTGGCCTTGGGCAGGTTACCTGGCCTCTCTGAGCTGCAGTGTCAGCCTCCGAAGAAGGAAGGTGGTCATCGGCTCTAGCAGGAGTGCTGTGAGGGTGCCGTCAGGTCATGCACTGGGGCGCCTGGTATAGTGTTACCCCCGTGGCAGGTGTTTTGTGTCCTTGAGCAATCTTTGTCTGCCGGGAGGGAGGACAAGCTGTGTTCTGCTGGCCTTCCAGGACTGAGAATGGGTTGAATTTGAAAATGGAAGGAGGGAGGCTCTAACAAGCGGGGACTCTCTCCAGCTAACGGAGTGCAGGCAAGGTGGCCCATGAGTGTCAGAGCTCTGGGCAGGGTCCGAGGGGTACCCATGTTACAAAACCTGAGTGTCATTTGGGCCATCACCCAGTGGCCTCTACTTTCCCCGGGGATCAAGGAGGAGAGGGCAGGAGTTAACTGAACAGAGAGTCTTAAAGCCCCTCGGTTGGAGGGAGAGCAGGACACCTTCTCTTCTATATTTTTCTGTACAGATGGGCTGAGGCACAGGGAACTGGAGACCGGGGAATGGGAGTGAAATTTCCTATCCACTCACTTTTTTCCTCCATCTGTGTGTAATGAATACCTGTCCTGTGCCAGGCTCGGTTCCTGGAGTGCAAATGCAGTGGTGACTCAAGTCAATCAGGTCCCTGAGCTCATAGGGCTCACATTCCAGAGCTGGTACAATGAGCAGATAAACCTGTTTTAAAGGGGTCACCATTTCAGATGAAGTCGTATTGAAAAGACAATGAAACAAGTCGGCGATAGTGATGACTGGGAGCTTTGGGTAGAAGGGACGGGTCCAGGAACGGCCCTCGGAGGAGGGCATGTTAAAATGAAGCCCTTGAGAGGAAGCCAGCCCTCCAGGTGGGAGTGAGCATACAGAGGTGGCACAGGAGGTAGGAGGTGGGTGTGACCAGGCCATGGAGACCAGGAGGGAGACATGGCAGGTGAGATCTCACGGGGGTGGCCAGAGGCCAGGTCTGCACGGTGTGAGTTAGGGTTTGTTCAGAGGATGACAGAGCATCACAGAAGCTTTTTCAGAACCAGAAGGCTCCCAGGAGGCCACGTGGTCCCACACCTGCTCCTTCCAGGCTCATCCACCGTGTGAAGGTCATGGGGGGTGTGGAGGACTTTTCCTTTGTGGACTAGCTGGCGGTGGGCTTGAGGGTACAGAGAGCTGAGGGCAGCTCCCACTTCTGTCCCTACCCACTTTGTCACTTGGGGCCCTCTGTTTATTGCCTGGCGCAGCTATTTTGTTGGCCACACCATAACCCTTCCCTCGGGGAGAGGGAATATGAAAAGACACTATGAACAGAAGGAGGGAACAGAAGTCCTCTTTGTTTCTCGGTGTCAAAGTAGAAGAGCCCTGGGGATTACCTGTCTGGTGGATACCCTACGCCTGCCCCTGTGGCCGACATGGTGGATCTCCCATGGCACATCCACCATCACGCAGCCCTCTTGCTAGCTACCACTGGTAACTCAGAATCAGTGCATGCAATGCCTCCATTGGCCCTTCCAGACTGACCCAACCTCCTTTTACATATGGAGGAACTATGGCCCAGAGACATTCAGAAACCCAACTGCATCTACAGGGGGTGTTGTTGACAAAGCTGGGAACACAGGTGAGGCTCAACTCCCTCACCTGCAATTTTCTCTCCCTACATCAGCCCCTAGGGTTCCCTCCATCATGCTCACCTGGCTTTGAGATGGCCACTCTGGTGTTGTGCTTAATGTTGGAGTCCTCTCAGAAGTCAGCAGGCAGAGGGCTTAGCTACACTTGGCCCAGGACCTGGGTCCTATCTAGGCCTTTGTAATCTGTGGAGGAGACCAACCAGAAGGTCTCAGCTGCAGCCACCATGTTGCAAGGACAGGAGCGGCAAACTCCAAACTTACCTCTGGGGTCTTGGGTTTACCCTTCTAGTGGGTCACACTTGAGGAGCTGGGGTTTCCAGAATCCCAAGTATGCCTTAGCACATGGTAAACTGGAGGCAGGCCTGGGGCAAGCTTGCATTCTAGAGAAGTGCATCTTGAAATTTAATATACACCCCAAGCATCTAGGGAACTGCAGATTCCCATTGTATATGTCTGGGGTGGGGCCCAAGATCTAGCATTTTCAAGCCCCAAGGCAATGCTGGTGCTGCTGGTCCACAGCACCCTCTGAGTAGTGAGGGTCCAGACCTATGCTGCCCAATAGTGGCCACTCTCCACGTGTGGTTCTTGAACACTCAAAATGCAGTGAGATGAGATGTCCTGTGAGTATACAATCCACCCAAGATTTTGAAGATATAGGATAAAAAAAAAAGAACATAAAGTAATTTGTCCCATTACATAGGACAGTGATATGTTGAAATTCTGGTGTTTGGGTGTATTGTGTTAAATAAAATATCCTATTAAGTTTACCTTTTTAAAACCCCTTTAATATATAACTAGAAAATTTACGACTTCCATGGCATTTCTTTTTTAAAAAAATAGCCTTGTTGAGTTATTAGTTTACATATCTTTTAATCCTCCTGCTTAAAACATACAACTCAAAGGGCTTGGGCATATTATTGTTTTTTAAAATTGTGGTAGAGGGGTGCCTGGGTAGCTCAGTTGGTTAAGTGTCCAACTCTTGATCTCAGTTCAGGTCTTGATCTCAGGGTCATGAATTAAAGCCCCATTTTGGGCTTCACGTTGGGCATGGAGCCTACTTAGAAAGAATTGTGGTAGAACATATATAACATATAATTTGACACTTTAGCCACTTTTAAGTACACAATTTGGTGGCATTGATCACATTCACAGTGTCGTGCAACCACCACCACCATATCCAAAACCTTTCATCCCCTCTGAACAGAAACTGTACATACCCGCTAAGCAGTAATGCCCAGTCCCTCCTCCTTCCAGCCCCCGGAACCTCTCACCTACATCCTGCCCCTGTGAACTTGCCTATTCTAAATATTTCATAATGGAGAATCCTACAGTATTTGTCCTTTTTGTGTCTGGGGTCTTCGCTTAGTGTGTCTTCAAGGTTCATCCACATGGCATGTATGAGAACCTTACTCCTTTTCACCACTAATATTCCATCGTATGTACGTACCATGTTTTGCTTGTCCTTCCATCCATTGGTGGACACTTGGTTTGTTTGCACTCGGGCTGCTGTGAATAATGCTGCAGTAACAGTGGTGTACAAGTATCGGTTGGAGTCCCTGCTTCCAATTTTTTTTAAATTGCGCTGTATGTCCATTGCACGTCCTTGGTCTAGATCATTACCACAACCACCAGCATGATCACCATCATCTGGGTACCACTTATTAAACATGTGTAACAGGCACTCTGTCAAGCATTCCATCTGCATTGTCTTGCTGACTCCTCAGAGCTCCTCCTAAAAGCCAGGCACTGTTAGTATTTTACTTAGAAGAAAACCAAAGCACAGAGAGGCTAAGTACCTTCCTAGAGGTCACACAGCTAGTAAGGAAGGGAGCAGACCTTGGAACCCACGTTGGTCTGGATGCTAAATCCATGATCTTGATGCCTCTACTCTGCTGTCTTCTGTACAAAGATTACCTGTGTACCTTCAGAATTCTTTCCAGAACCATGCTGGGAGAGTGGGCATGAACATCTGCCATGGATGCCCAGATCCCAGCTCAACAGTGGGTGGCAAAGCCTCTGCTCCTAACAGGAGTGTATGGTGTGGATCCCGGTCTCACCTCCTCTTCTTGTATTTCTAGTCCTTATCTAGCATGCTCAGCTGCAACACGTGGCCTCAGCCCAGCCCACCTGCTAGCAACCATCCCTAGCCTAGAGCCTACCTGCTCAAATGGGAA